TTTCCCTCTAGTGTTACACTGCTAAATTAAGGACGGCTAGTGCAGATATCCCTCTTCTAGTCTTGCCCGAAATTCAAAAACAAACAAACAAACAGGTTCACATGGATAATCGAATCCCAAGCTATGGAATTTGACTCTTTTACGATCTGTAACCGGTAGCAACAAATGAAGTTAAAATCAACTTTTTGGTTCAAATAACTTTATAAATGCACCACTTTTCCTATATGAAGATAGATCAGTATCATTTGATATAATACTATCTATGATGTCTGGTGATAATTATTGTTGTTTTACAATCACATTCACTGTAAAACCTGATCATTCATCCCTTGATCTACTCGTCATGTTCTGCAAAGGAACTCGATAACTAAAAACACAAAGACCGCTTAGATGGGTAGACTAACAGTCTTGAAGTAGATGCAAGATGCTAAAACGCCGTGAATGGGGAGAGAGAGAGTGTGTGTGTGTGTGTGTGTGTAGGTTGTATGTTGCTGGAGCCATGTGCATGATTCATGTGCAGTTTATTTTACATGAAAACATTCAATGTACCAGAGATTAGAGAGTAAAATATCTAAAAAAATAAAGATCAGCCAAAAAATTATTAGCGTACATTAAAATATCCACGTGTTAGGGTTAGAAATGAGTGTTGCAAGGGCGCTGGAAACGGTGGGGGAGGAAGGACAAGTTTTCTGAAGAGCTTCTTTCGAATATTTATGTTATGGAACGAGTTATACACTACCAATATTAGCTGACGGTCAAGTATTGTCATTAATAGCTTAAGCCAATTGAGTGCGCTGCGTTTAGTCCTTGCTAATTGGTGTTGTGCACTCATTGTAGGCCAAGAACAACATATATACGGATATAAGTTTAATAGACTTACATACTGTGTAAGTTGAAACACGCATATAATATAAAACATAAGTACATAATTAATGTTGTACCCTCACTTTGATGCATTTTCATTGGTCAGCAACAACCTGCCTTTAAACGCTTTTAATTTTGCATCATGCCGTAGTTTTGTTTTTCTGCGTATTTATAGGAATAGGAATAGGTAGAAAGTATGTGAAGTGAAACAATTATATTAAAAATGTAATACTTGTGCAAATCCAACTTCAAAAATATATAAAAATCACATACTGCTTACGTTGCATGATATAAGCAGAATTAAATTATTCAAAGCTCATTACTCGTAATATTTAAATACCAAAGCGCATGCGTAACAAAATGGAAATAGATGCGGTATTAATTTTTTCTTCGGTGACACTTTATTATGGTTCTCTGTCCCACCAATGTAAATTTGCTTCCGGTGCACTTGTGTGGACATAATATTTGCAACAACTTCACAGCATTTGGCAACGTCTTAAGTGTCATTATCCGTGAAATCTGGACAGTGAGCTTTGTGTAAATGCACACTTTTTTATTTATTATGTTTTAGAAGAAATGTGACGCAGAAATTATAAATTATCCTCAAGAATGCTCAACATTTTTGTGTGACGTAAAACTCGTCATCACTTATCTTATTTTCTCAAGATTCTCAAATGCATACCAAAGAAGTAATTTATTGTCATGCTTCTTGTTATAAGGATACGTTTATTTACGGTTCTAATTCGAAATATACTACTGTTTTATGTAATTGTTTGTAGGAGCGTGAGTTTTAGTATGCCACTCTATGTATATGAATACTGCATTGACCCTAATTAACGCCCCCCCCCCGGTATATTTATAAAGCTTACCTTGTGTAACAGCAATAGTAATCCAATATACAATCCACTTTTAATACGGTAATTATGATTTGAAAACAAAAAAAGAAGAAAACCAAACACACACACACATTTATTAGCATTGAAATCAACAAATCACATGTGAAGAATCCTGACTGCACAAATACTATAATCAGCGCCCCCCTCTTTGCAAGTTAATTAGGGGCAATACGGTATAATAGAAGTGTTGTTATATATTGCCTCAAACAGAAACTTTTTTCATTCCCAAAAATATTCAAGTGTGTCTCATGGGGTTTTGTAGAAACCACCTAACCGCTCGACACGTGTCATGATCGCTTTCAAAACTTACCGACACGCGCTTTTCCCCGCATGAGCATAAGAATGCGGCAGAATAGTATCTAGAGTGGTTGCTAAGCTCCAAAGAAGTAACGATGATATTTTAGTTTTTCCACGTGCCCCTAAAAATGTTTTCAGCAAAAGTAACAACTTTGGTTCATTAGAACTGAAAAAATCGAAGGTTGCTGCTGATTGGATAAGGTCGTTTGTTGCGCCGGAAGGGATTTAAGTGTTTTGAAAGAAATGGTCGATGAAAATGTTGATTAGATCGCGGTGAATGCTGGAGTTGGATTGGTTCAGGTGGATTTGACAAGTCAGATGCAGCTTCTATAAATGAGTAATATCGAGGCACAAGAAGTCCTGCCTGGAACCCGATTCCTGTCAAGCGCAGCCCTTCGCCTGAGTCCCTGTCTCTTGTTCTAAGTTTACAAGAGTCAGCTTGAGCTGATAGAAGGTCCTAGTTAGTGTTTGTGTCCCCAGCGGCCTAGTGTACTATCGGGTATATTACCTCCCATTTTCATAATTTCATCTCTAAAATACATTTCTTCTCTTGCCGAGGGCCACTAAAGCGACTCAGAGAAAAATATAAAAGCGATACTAATAAGCCATACGTGATGTCAGCACCAGGACTCACTTACGGTTACACGGGCGGAACCAGCGATGATTTCCCGCCCTCAGAGTTTGGCTATTTGGACTTGATATCCCCGCAGTCCTACGGCAATCACTGTCAGACACCCCAGTATACAGTCGACTTATCATCTCACCTGGATCCTTATCCAGCTGAACGCGTGCTTTCCGTAACCACCATGCCGCCTCACCCCTGCCGCTATGAAGATACTTCCTATACGAGAGACAGCCCTCTTAAAGCCGCTCCTGCTCCTCAGGATATTGGAGATCGACCTTCTTGTGAATACGAGACCCAAGGTTTGACTTCTTTACAACACTCACCGTGTATGACAGGTAAGACATTTATACACTGTAAGTTGTAAGAGTATTCTGGTATTTGGAAAAAGAAAACTGCATGTGACAAATAGTAGGTAAATACACGATATCATGTAAAGTAATCTAAAGTAAACTTTGAATTCACTTTTACGAACAACAACATAAAACTTATATGAACATGAGAAATTGTCGAGAATTTGTTACTGTTCGGTAATAGTGGTCCTAAATTTTATTTTACAAGACTAATTTTATTTTCAGTAGATTTTACTAGAGTGTAATGAAATTAAAAAAAAAAATGAGGCCGCTTCTCAAAGTAGTTCTATTTTAGATATCTTTTGTACGTTCTTTAATTGTATAGGTGTTTCATATTAATGTTATCTCAAGATTAGTTTTAGAGGTATTCCTGTATATCCTGTACTTTTATTTCAGTTTCGTTAAAATGTTTCTTGGCATATCGAAAGTTTCCTTTCAGGTTTTGGGCGATTAAGGCTGCAATAGGTTTATATATTTTTTGAAACTATTAGGTCGTTTTCTAGACAAATTAGATAACCGATTACAAACGAAAATTTTCTTTTCGAATTACTTGTTATAAGGTGAACTTTCATCAAACACTTGGTATTACAAACTACCAGTTACATATTTGTAAAATCTTCATAATTTTGGCTAAGTTTTTATCTATTATATATATATAAATCATATTTTTGTAAGGCACACCTTTTTGATTTTAATAATTTCTTGACATTTAAAACTACATCTTCAATACTGATAAAATACATGTTTTAAAGATAGAATGTATAGTTACATATAGACTGGAAATAACTAAGATGTTATCATAACTAGATTATTTTGAGATTTACAAGATGATTACAAGTAAACGTGATATATGAAAGTAAAGTTAGATTTTCAAGAAGCTGTTTTAAAGTTTTCTCAATTCGTCAAAATCTTTGTTGTTTTTTATGTTATACCTTAGATCAGGTGTCTTTACTAATCTATCAATGGTTTCAATGTTCTTTATCTTCGGTGATGCATGTAGTTTAGTAGAATTATTAATATTCATATTAAAGCGATGACATGATAATAAAGCATGTTATTTAGACTTACAGTTAGGCTACTATTATGTCTCGCAAAGTTCTGCGTTAGTTTAAAAGAGGTTAATTTGGGGTTGTTCCATAATTCTACACCACGAGAACCAAGAAGCTGGCATATTTTATATAAAAATATTCTCTCATTATTGTGTGAGAGAAATATATCAATATTCGTTTTCTAGAATACATTACAGAAGTTTCTAAAGCTCGCATTGGCTGTTTCTCAAACAACTTCGTACGCATACTCGATCTGTGTCATTTATCTAGGTGATAAACAGTGAAAATCTTTTAATTAAAAAACAACAACATATGATTTTATGAAAAATCGAATGTTGGCTTTCACTTTCCTGGTCGATTCTATTTTGTCACTGTTACACAATTATTTGTTTTCTCTATCTTTCTACTTAAAAACTACTTCAAACTTTTTAATATTTGAGGGATGTAAAAACCATGCTTATTAGAACAGTAAATTACGTTGTAGATTTCTGAGTAAAGTGAACAACAATTTTAAAAAGGGTAATTTTTGTACTCAGTCCAACAAAGAAATATTTTACCATACGAACGTTCAAATGTCTTTAGTAAACGACAAGTTCGGGTTCGGTCTTATGGCTATCATGCCGAATTATGTATCGAAAGATCTAAGGATAGTACCGCGACGCACCTGAACACGCTCAGCACTTTCATCGAAAGATCTAAGGATAGTACCGCGACGCACCTGAACACGCTCAGCACTTTCATCAAAAGATCTAAGGATAGTACCGCGACGCACCTGAACACGCTCAGCACTGTCAATTTTGGATGCGTTATAAAAGTGACAGTATAATCCATTATTCGATTCAAAGAACCAGACAAAACTCTTATGATGCTAGTTGGCTGTCTTTCTTTTGGTCAGTAGTTCAAAATTAAGGACAGTTATACCTGGATTCTGTAGAAGCCTCTGACTTGATATTTTTTAACTAAGTGCGCATACATACTGTCGAAGTTAAAAATTGTAGTTCCAATTAAACGACAAATTACTTGTGGTAAATGACGTTTGTCTTATTACTATTGTGATTTTGATAATTAGATAATTTATAATCTTCAACTAATTAAAAATAATTTAAGCTACACAATTACGAGAAATTAAAAGGACTTCTCACAAAATTATTTGGATTATTGTAATTGAATTAAACTACTAGGAACTGAAATTTTCGTCAAAGTTTTATTTAATTATTCTCAACAACAAGAAAAGGAAAAGACATGACATAATTATTCTATAATGTATTTTTGTAATATGAAAATGAAAGAAACAGTTGTATTATTTATTCTGGTACTATGAAAATGAAAGAAACAACTGTATTATTTATTCTGGTACTATGAAAATGAAAGAAACAACTGTATTATTTATTCTGGTACTATGAAAATGAAAGAAACAGTTGTATTATTGTAATTCGCTTTTCGGTGGTGGTATTAGTAGTTTCAACTTTATGTGACAGATAGGTTAAACAGCCAGGTTGGAAGAGACCCTCAAAGTTCAGGTATAATCGACCCTAGTTTCGAACATCTGATCAAAGGGGAGGCAGCCGATCAACAGTAACTGCCTCAAAGAGAATTTTATCCGGCTTTAAATCGAATAATGAAATTGTCTATCACTTTTATAACACATCCACAGCTGAAACTGCGGAGCGAGCTCAGCGACATCGCTGCTCGAGCCTTAGACTTTACGTTACGAAATGTAAGGCCAAGGTGAATGAACTGAAATTGGATCTTTGACTTACAAAGTTGAGGTCTTACGGTGGAGACAAAGTTTGCTGCACAAACATGTTTTATAAAAGTAACGATATGAAAGCAAACATGTCCATTGTTGATCGAAACAAATCATATGCATTTATGGACTTATATATAGATAAATACACTTATTTATAACTATCTATATGTAAATAGATGTATGTATTCATATAATGTGCGCGCGCATTTATTATTTCAAAGGGCATAAATAATAAATTAAATATAGATGGTATTCTAGTATATAACCTGTGTGTTTAATATATAGATGAAATAACACTGCACTATCAAAGGTTATTTACATGTTATTTGTTAGATTCCTATATAATAATCAATAATTATTTTGAAAGAGAATGATAGAACACTTATAAAGGTGTACAAATACTGTAAGCGTTCATAAAAAATGAAACTTTTAAACAGTTTTGGAAATTATTTTAGTAATTTGAAACAACTGATTTGAAATATTGTATATAGCTCATAATATTAGAACGAAAAAAGTAACTGATTTAACTCTTGGATGTCAGTTTCTGTGATCTTGTGGCCGGTAATAATACGATGCAATTAATTGGAGTTGAAGCTGTTCGTTAATATAATTATAACTGGAGCGAATGATTTAGCTATATAGAAAATATATAAACTATAAAGTGTATCGTGCATGTGAAAACTACGAGACAACTGTGTCAGTTGTTTTAAATTATGAGTTATTTTCACTATAATAAAGGGAACTGTTAAAACGTGATAGAAGCTTATCGAGCCATAATTATATATTCAGTAATGGCTAAAGAGTAATAATATCAACGTTACCGAACTGTGGCTTGGTTGAATTATTCTTAACAACAACCGAATAAACTGTTTGTCATCTTTAACCTAGGAAATTATTTAGATCCCAGAGGATTTAATACTTTACCTAATATGCTATCTAAAGGTAATATATATAATATGCCTACCTGCGTTATAGCAGGTTTTTTTTATCATAAATATACGGATGGTGTGAACGCCTTTTATAAACTGGCGAAGCATGATTATAATTAATTATTATATTAATATAGTGAGTGAGGTTAGAATACTATTCCCAAGGGACTAGATATAGATTGTAGTGTTTAAAAACATAATAGGCCTAATACTAACGTCTTTTGACAAGTATAATTAATTATAATCATGCTTTGCTAACTTATAAAAGACGTTCATACAACAACAACTGTTGTTGTAATAAATGATTTATATAAATAGTATTCCGACCGCTAGTGTGATTGTTGTTTTCCTGCTGACCAGAAGAGCTCGGGATAGAACGAAACGCGTTGTCGGTAATGAATATAACGAATGTAGTGTGACTGGAATACTTTTATTATACACTTTTCTTATTCTTGAAACATTATAAGGGACCAGCTATAGAATGTAGTGTTTAAAAATATAATATGCCTAGTACTAATGTCTTATGAAAAGTATAATTAACTTGGCATTATGTTTAAGCACGTTTTCTTATAACTTTGTACAATTTAGGTGAGACATGAAAAACAGCACAATTTTATTATATTTAGTAAACAACAGAAGTTCTTTCGTTTAGTGAACACTGTAGGAATGATTAAAATATTAACAATTTGTTCTATTTTTAATATTTCTAACATTATAATGATTTAAATTATTGCAAGTTTTCAGTCTATTTAAGTATTTAAATACCATAAATCCAAGTCTATTAGAACAAGCAGCTATTCTTGTATGAAAAGCTTTAATTTTGTCTTATTTTCTTTTCTGTTTTCCTTTAAATTTCCTTCTATCTTTCAGGGATTTAAATAGTTATTCCTTTGGGAGTGAGTAAAGGTCAAAGTTTTTTGTTAAAAGTCTATTACAAGTGTCAAAAAGCTTGTAAATACTTACATCACAAATCTGTAGAGTTAGTAGTTCATAAGTGTAACTCTCCTTGGTATATAATCTCTCATTAATTAAGAGATACTTCTCTTTTTCTAGAACCAAAGTGCTGTCCTTAATTTCTCTATTATTTGCTACCAAATCGCACAATCTCGCTCTCATTAATGAAAACAATTCAACCCCAAGTCTATTTTCTCATCCTCCGTTTTTGTTGGGTTTTCCATCTGACTTGAAAAGCTTTGAATATATTTTAAGTTTCTATTTCTGCCCATATAAAGATACACTAGAATCAAAGAGCTGATG